GATGCCCACTACTAACAAAGACAGGCACGGACTAAAAACACCTACGAGAGACACAGCTGAGGAGGACTAAAGGCATGAGGGTTATTAAAGCCCAAGCAAGCCAAGCAGCATTCTGTTTTCAAAGCAGGCAAGACCAGGTGTGGCTCAGTGGAGAAGGCTGGGTTCCACACCGCAGGGTGAAACGGACCTGATCAGACGCCTTAGCAAGGGAGACGACAGACCATGGTCAGGCAGAAGAGGAAATGCTGAAAGCTAACTACCCTGCCACACATCAGGACTACTAAGAATTATAAACACAACAGCAACAAGATCCCACTACACATGTTGCAGAATGACTAAAATCTGGAATTCTGATAGTGCCAATTCAGCCACACATGAACCAAAAGGAGCTTCCACTCAGTACTGGTGGAAACGCAGACGGCACAGACACTTGCAACAAAGTCTTGCAGTACAAAGTTAAATATACTCGATGTGCACCAGCAATCGCCAACTGAAACGTTAAGAATCCCGAGTCAAGAAGCAGGAAGAGCCCAGCCTGCATGAATACCTGTCTCAAATGAATAATGCCAGACCAGAGGTGCAAACAGTATCATTCATAACTGAGGGAAGAGTCAGGAGGCACTGAGTTATTTTCAGAGCTGAATGCAAAATTATCTACTGGTAATCCAGCCATAAGACTTGGAGAACCTGGAATACAACTGGCTAGTAGGCAACTGAGACCACGCTGGAAGGGTATGTGCACACCAGATGACACCACCTACAGTGCATTCTGGAAAGGACAAAGCTAACAGGAAAAGAAGGGGGAGGAAGGAGGAAGAGAGGAGAGGCGGGACACGGGGGACCTCTAGGACAATGAGCTCTACACGGCACTAAAGCTGGGTGACTGGCATACACAGTGTGAGAACACAGACTGAACAACAGTGACACTTGGCTAGCGTAAAGCAGGACATAGGCAGGAAGAGTGTGCCACAGTGGCTCATCAGTCCTGGCAACTGCAGACAACAGAGGCAGACTAACAGTGGGCTCCAGACTGTTCACTGTAGCGTCAATAAAGCATTCCACAAGTGAAGGCCTACTAATTAATGTCTTTAAAAGACTGATCCAAACTATGCTAACCCACCAAAGGAAGTCACTAAGTTAAAACTTCACTTTAAAAGCAGCCCAAGTCAGGAGAGAAACTGGGGACCAGAAGGCTGGCACACAGTGACAGGGGCTAGTCAGCCTGGAGAGTGGGCACAGGCATGGGCCCGGCAGATTCTGTGGGACAGCTGGAAGGAGATGTGTGTGTGGGCGCTGCATGAAACCAGACTGTGGAACTGGTGGTGGTGGCGATTTAACAGTGGCCATGTTCCCAGCGTCACGAGGTCTGAAGCGCGTGTGCAGGGGACACCGCGCTTCACAGAGCACACGCCACATATGTGAGGTGTCTCTGCCGTGTCCACCTTCTACAGCGCTTCAAAGCCCTTCATTAGAGTAATTCAGAACAGAAGGAAAGCCTGTGTGCTTGTCCCCAAGAGAAAGACACACACCGCCACCACCTAGACAAACACAAGCTCCAAGGCTGTGTAGAAATGTTGAATAAGTTAGAAGACATGAAAGATGCCGGAGCAGGTAGCCAGAGGCTTCACAACAATCCAGCCTGGGCAGTCAAATGCTAAAAACCTTACAAACACAGAAGCGAAGTTCCCTCTTCAATTTCTCAGGCCACAGAATATTGGTTACTCAAGCCAGACAAAGACAGGAGCAAGAAAAACCCAGGAGGAGCTCACCGGGGAACACAGATTTAAAACAAGTATCAGCAAGCTGAATAAAACCGTGTGTGAAGCATAAGACCCACAGTGACAAACACGCCATCCACAACAGGTGTGTAGGACATGACTGTCACATCAGTGTCACACACTACCATGTAGCACTGCATCAGCTTCAGCAGCAAAAGCACGCTACCAATCCTAACAGAGATACACCGAAACAGTGACTTTAGAAAAGTCAACATCTCCTCATAATTAACAAAACAAGCAGGAACAGATCTTTCTTAATCTGACACAAGCCACAACAAAGGCTTCAGAAGACTCAACATTCATTCATGATTCCTGACATGGAAGTAGTAAAGTCCTTAAGCTGATAAATAATTGTTTCCCCTGGGCGGTGGTGGTGCACGCCTCTGATCCCATCACTTGGGAGGCAGAGGCAGAGAGATCTGTGAGTTAGAGGTCAGTATGGTCTATAAAGAAAGCCACCTACACAGCCAGGGCTGTTACTCAGAGAAACCCTGTCTTGAAAGAACAAGAAACAAGAAACAACCAACAACAAAATGTTTCTATGCTCCCTTTCCCCACACCAAGCCCCCTGCAGACCCCATGGGGACGAAGTGCCCTCACAGAGGAGACAAGGTGCCCGTCATGCTTCCTTCTCTTGGAGGCCAGCGCTGCAAAACAAGTACAGTACACCCAAGGCACAAACCAGGGGAGGAAAGAAAAACAGCCATTACATCATCCATCAGGAAACGCAACAGTACGTACTGACAATCCTTGAGAATCTATAAGTTTGGAGACCAGCCTCCCCATATATCCCAGTAAGAAAATTAAGAAACATAGAATCTTATGAAGAAACTGTATCATACACAGACAGACACTTAAAGACTTAATACTGTAATGGTAATCTGTAGCAGGAGGAGATGAAGCTGGAGTTACAGGAGGCTGGGAGCCGCCATGTGGATGCCGGGAACTGAACTTGGGTGTCTGGAGAAGCAAGTGCTCTAACTGCCCAGCCATCTCTCCGGCCCCAGAAGTCTTCTTAAGGAAACAAAGAATGGATTCAGTATTTTCTTACTACACCAAAAGGCCAAGATCAGCCAAACCACCACCAAGAAGAACAAAGAGTGCCCATCCCCACCCCCCAAACTAAGAAACATGAAAACCAAGACACAGAGCTCAGACACACCCAAGAGCTGAAGACACCTGACCCAGTCAGAACTGGCATGAGTGACGAGGCGGCAGTGGGGGTGAATGGTACATTAGAGATTTAGAGGAGACAGCCACAGTTCGTAGGATAAAGACCTCCAACAAATGGGTAAGACCAAAGGAGACAGCCAAGAAGAGAGGCTGTGTGGCTGGCAGTCAGCAGCACTCACATTCCACAGCTTAGTTGTCGCAAGTGAACCTTTTCCACATGCAGCCATTTGATGCCATCCTGCACACCAGGACAGGCAGGACCCAGCCCGCCACACCCAGTGCATCCACCCGAAACCACCTGGGACCCATGCTATGTTTGAAGCTGAAATGTCCCTAAGAGGCTCATGTGTATCAACAATTGGTTCCCAGCTGGTGGTAATGTTTTAGGAGGCTGAGGACATGGGGTCCGTTGAATGACTTGTGGCCACTTCTGGCCCTGGACTTCTGCCTGCAGAAGTAAGGAATGGCTGCTGAGTGCTCCAATCAGCACATACCATGTCTCCCTGCCACAAGGTGACTGGTGCATAAAGGTCACGCACACACAGTGGAAAGCCGGGCACAGTGGTGCAATCTGGAACCCAGCACTACGGGGCTTGCTGGTCACGCAGTCTAGCAAAAACAGTGAGCCTCAGATTCAGAAAAGACCCACATTGACCTTTGACCTCCACATACAAGCACATGCATACCCCAAACACAAATACACACACACAAAATTATATTTTAGCACAACATATAGTTATATATTCATAAGCTGAAGTAAACCCTTCCTCCCTGAAACCACTCTGTCTCGGATACAATCTGACATGAGACAACCAGACAGCAGGGAGCTTGGGTCCCTCTGTGCCCGATGTCAGTGGAGAGGAAGGATGACAAGGGCACGTGGGGCTCCCAGTCTCCCTCCGTTCCTGAGTGCCTGGTGTCCATGATACCATACTCCTCAAATTCTGCCTCTTTCCTAACTAGGCTAGCAAGACAGATAGAAGGTTACTGTCAGGCCTGACAGCCCGAGTTCAGTTCCCAGGAGGAAAGAATGACTTCTAAAAGTTTAAGTTGTCCTCTGACCTCAGACGTGTGTTGCAGCATGTGTGCAATCCCCCACCACCACCCCACCGGCCTATTTATAATACAAATGGAAAGAAGATATCATGGAAGTACCTAGACCACACAGGGAAGCATGGCGCTCCCCTGCAGAGGCCTTGCGCCTCAGGCCCGAGCTCCCTGCCCATTCACAGGCCCTTCTGCGCTTTCACCTGGTGGCAGAGTGGGGCATCAGGGTGGAGGACAGTAGCAGGACGCTCTCTGCCTGAAAACATGTGAATGGCCAGTGACATGCTCTGTGTGTTTTTAATCCGCAAGAGGAGGCAATCAACCCACGTCTGCCACAAAGACCCAGGCCAAAGGTGTTCATTGCTTGCCCGGTCCTGACACTAGCGAGTGGCTTCACTGAAATCTAAACTCTCTTTTAAAGCTGGCATACCTCCAGAGGAGTGAGGTCAGTGTGGCAGACTGGTCTACGTAGTCTAAACATCTGCCCCATAGTGTGTGACACGCTCCTCGGTCCAGGGTAGGGCAGAGGTGCCCCTTCCCTCACCATCACTAGAGGTTCAAGCTTTGACTTTCAGAAAGGCTGAGGGGGAAGCTGGGCACCAGCTCTTTAGCAAATCCACAACACCTGCACTTCTAAGAACACTGCTGCTGTTCACACGGCAAAGGCTACACATGAGGTCTACCATAGCTATGAGCATCCCGCCACTCACTGAGTCAGCATCCCACGCCTGCAGCACCCCCCTCTCACTGAGACAGCATCCCCACACCTGCAGCATCCCGCACCTGCAGCTTCCATCCCGCCTCTCACTGAGGACATCACACCCACACCTGCAGCCTTATGATTCTTTCATCGTCCCGGGCTGCTGTCATGTGTCACTCTTCTCCAAAGGCTGAATGAATGAAACACCCAGGGTTCGGCAAGAACTATAGTCAGGAGACCTCAGGTGACACCCAGCTGACAAGCCTTCTGGGAAGAAGGGCGGAGGCTGAGGGCAGGCCCACCTTGTTGAAGACCCAGACCTCTCCATTCACTGTGGGCCTGGGCACCCCGTGGCCATTGTAGTGGAAGAGGACCCGCTCCTCCTTGGCGTTCCGGCGCAGGGACGTGCAAAGCTTCTTTACTTCATCCACAGTGGGGTCGAGGCTCTGCTTGTACCGTGCCTGTGGTAGAGAAAGAAAGGAGAAACTTGTCACGAACCGGGAAGGGCCAGAGCTAATCTACAGATAGAGCAGCTATACATAGAGCTCTGCACGAGTGGTGCCAAGCTGTGGCTTTAAAAGTGAGCACCAGTTAGAAGAGTGTACGGTCATGTGTGGTATATTGTCACTAAGAACAACTGTCACATGTCAAACACACAAGGGACCCTTCTGAAAACCAGAAGGGACTGCTCTGAAAACCTCAATATGTGGAGCATAGAGAACTTACTCAGACAAGGGCCTAGAGCGCACACAGCAGCAATGGCAAAGTTATAAAATGACAGAAGCCGTGTCTGACTCCATACAGCCCTCTTCCGCTGCTCAGTGAACACTGAATGCCTGGTGACAAGGCTTAATGGACACTAGGGTTTTTACAGACACAAACACCAGACAGAGATGAGTAAGAAAACCCCAGTAACGAAACAACAGGAGAAACCTGTAGAACGTGTAGCACCTCATTGCAGGGAAACACAGAGACATGGGACTTGAACCTACTGCAGCAGACACTCAGCAATCCTCAGGGCCAGTCCCATGTTCAGTACAACCGCAGGAAACCTCTAGCAAGGTATTTATGACATTAAAAAAGCTGCCATGGAAACCCACACAAAAGAAAAGACATGCAAGGAAAGTAAGGAAACACAGAAATGGGAAAACCCACAGTTGGCGTGGAAAAACCTCCCCAGACACCCCAAATCCAGCAGGGTATCTAATTAAGAAAGTAAGGTTGGTGCTCAAGACCTCAGAAAAGGGAAGTACAACACAAATACACTAGAGTTGGAGCCACACACCAGGGCTTTCCAGGAGCAGAGCTGACAGCTAAACTTTTCTGAAAGCTGATTGGTTAAAACTTGGGCTAGCTTGCAGGTGAAATGACTTGCAGGGGTCGGGGCAGAGACGAGTCTGGGAATGCACTGAGGATGCTGAAGCCAATGATGGGGACGAGGGCCTCTGGTTCCCTTCCACTGACTTTGTGCCTTAGAGTGAGGGACTTCAGAGAAGAGAGTCTGGTATGGTAAGGGACCCCTGCAGCACTGCAGCACACCACACAGTCCCAACACCAGGGCGACGCTCTCTAAACTGTGCCAGAACCAACTATAGAAACAGGGACATTAAAATCTGATCTTAAGAAGTAATGTATATGTTTCCATATAATACAGTTCGGTAAGCTTGCATTGTTTGATTTTTAAAAAGTAATATCATAATAAATGACAATACCTCCAGCAGCAATTTTATTGTTTAGGATATTTTTGTTTATCCTGGGTCCTAGTGTTTCCGTATGAATTTTGAAATTGCATTTTCAATTTTTGTCAAGAACCCCACTGAATCCATAGGCTGCTTTTGCCAGGATGGTAACTTTCACCACATTAATCCTAACAATCTGTCAGCTTGGGAGGCCTTTCCACATTCTGGTAAATTCTTCAATTTCTTTCTTCATTGTCTTACAGTTTTCATTGTACAAGTTAGATTTCATTTCCTTGTTTAGGTGTAGTTCAAGGTTTGGGTATTTGTTGTGGTTGTTGTTTTAATACATGGTGGACTAAATTGTTTCCTTCATCTCTTTCCCACTATGTTCTTAGTATGTAGAAAAGCTACTGAGTTTTGTGTGTTCGTTTTGTATGCTGCTTCTTTGCTGAAGGTATTTTCCACTTTTGGTTACCTTTTAGAACAATAGGTGAGACCCTATTGCTGAAAATGCAACACCTAACTCACAGAGCATGGAGAAAGCAAGGTGGACACTTCATCCCCACGGTCCAGCATTCACAGTAGAAAGGCACTATGCATACTAAAGAGAAGGCAAGCCATCACAGACTCATGCAGCTGTGAGCCCTGCAAGCTACAAAACAACTTGGCAAGATATGCAGTGGCACAACTAATAGTGTCACGAGTGATCTATATATAGATGTTATGTTTCTGACTGGATTTAAAATCCATTCTATAAGACAAAAGCCATGTTTGCTACCATTAATTAGACAAAACTCCATGGCTGGCCAGGTCATAGGCTGGCCCTACTGAACAGCCTAATACTATTACTCTGCTCTCTTAAGCTCTTGCCTTTATACCCACAGATGGGTACTTTTTTCAACAGTCATCGGAGAATAAGAGAGTGTGCAATGCTCAGCTCCAAGTGGAATATCTATATCACATTCCTTCTCTCCAAAGCTCAAGGGTCATTGAGAAAAAAACTTAAGCAGAAGTAGACATCTGAAGCAAAATGTATTTGCTGGACATGACAATGAAGGAGCACATGTAAGCTCACAGGGGAAAAGGATACTGGACAGGGCCTGCAAGCCAGGCCAGAAATTGCCAGCTGATCGGGAATAGAGTATGTATGTATGTATGTATGTATGTATGTATGTATGTATGTATGTATTTTTTTAAAAGATGTAGGCCAAGAAGCTACCAATTCTCCAAACTCATGCACATACAAGAAACACAAACTGGACTCAGTAGACATTTAAGGGGAGGGAGGGGAGAGAGATAAGGGGGGGAGGGAGAGAACATATAAGGCTGGAAGGGAAAGAATGGGAGGGAAAGAAATGGTGGGAGGCAGATTTGATCAATCAAGACACATTATAAGCATGCATAACTGAATATAATGATAAAAGTTGTGTGTTCTGGTTCACTTCTCTATCTCAGCACTCAGGAGACTTAGGTAAAGGTAAAGGTTCAAGACCAGCCTGGGCTACACAACAAGACCCTGCATCTAAGCAAACTTAGATAGATAGACGGATGGATGGATGGATGATGGATGGATGGAAGGATGATGGATGGATAGATGGAAGGATGATGGAAGGATGATGGATAGATGGAAGGATGATGGATGGATGGAAGGATGATGGATGGATGGATGGATGGATGGATGGATGGATGGATGGATGATGGATGGATGATAGATAGATAAGGAGGTATACAAACAAAATAAACACTGTCTTTTTAGTAAGATGCAGCACATGTGTGGAATAGCAATGGACAAGGAAACCACAAACGAAGCCCAGGGCCTTCGCCAAGGATGGAGTGACCATGAGCCAGGGTCAGACAGCCCCACTCAGGACAGCGGGAAAGGGAAGGGAGGCAGGCATCCAAAGGCCAGGGACACCCTGCTGAGGCCCTGGAAGTCAGCTCTCCTTTGGGGGGGGAAAAAAAAAGGTCACCCATGAAGAAAACAGCAGAAAACGGAGTCCACAGACACACACTCTCTTTATCTCTGTCTCTCACACGCACGTGTGCACACACACACACACTCGCACTCACTCACTCTCACACACACACTCACTCACACACTTATAATTGTTTGGCCTGTTTGAACTACAAGTGAAGAAACACATGAGCTTCTGAGACAAGGAGAAGTCACAGCTATGGCCTTTACAGACAGTAAAACAGGCTCGAGGACACACAGCTGAGTCACTAAACACCAAGTCCCTCTCCAGGCCTCGGGTGAAGTCTCTGGAGAAGGGGTGCATGGACCTGAACAGAAGTGCTAAGGAAATCCACCTGAAGTGAAGGGACTACTCTGCAGGCCCCAAACCTGAGAAGCACTTCGAGGCAAGCCCCCTTGGAGTTTCTCAGAAGAGAACCCACCAGCACCTCATGGAGTCACGTGGTCCTTCCAAGCCTGTTTAGCAGACCCCTTCTCTCAGAATGGAGCCACATGTAGGCTGAAGTCACTGAAGTCAACTGAAAACTCAAGGAGCTGGTCCACGAAGTCCGTGGAGCATCAGAAGATGGCCTCTGCACCTGACCTGTCAGCAAAGTGCAGCAGAGCCACACAAAGCACTTTCGGGGCTATCTGCAGGGCTGGGCAACCTGGGCTACCTGCCTCAAGGTGGCAGAGTCAGGGCCCAGCCAAGTGGAGCTCCTCTCAGGGTTTCCTCACTCAAGACTAGAATGCAGCCCATAAAACAAAATGGGCGGCATTGGTGGTGCTTGCAGGGAAGCAAGCGAACAGGCCATGCAAATCCCTGATGCCCACACACTGAAACAAGGCTGAAGCCCCCAGGGAAGAGGAACTCCGAGAAGCACAGTGCGGAGGAGGGCAGGGATGCAGACGCAGGCCTAGGCAGGTGGGCATCCCTATTTGGGGCCTGGCCTCTCCTGAGCCTCTCTGTGGGAGGTGATGTCCGAAGAACTTTACATTGATCACTATCCACTTTTGTACAAATGTCTAAATGAAACTACTTACAATTCGGTGTGTGCCCTTCAGCACAGGGCCTGCACTTGCCCTCTCTACGGCTTGAATGACATACTACAAACAGCCAGGATGATCAGTGACACCAGATTGTTAGTGACATTAATTATTATAATTAGTGAAGGAACAAATCAAAATGATGGAATGCTATCTGACATCAAAGGGACATGAGTGAATGTCGACACAGCTCTGAGAAGCGCCATGGGGGTGGCACCTGTGTGCTGGGCAAAGCAGAGTCCACCGGGCCTTTACGGTGCCTGGCTGCAAGCCTGCACACCGAGGAGGGGAAGGGCTACAGTGCCGTGGTAGCGCCAGTGTCCACTCTCGGAAGAGATAGGAAAGGTGGAGTCCCCCTTGGCTCTTCACTGAGCTCCTTTGTGTGAACTCTGAACACTGCTGTAGGATATTTTTGACACTCCCCAACACTGCCAATGAAGTTTACCTTGAACCCGAGGGTGGAGACAGCTACTAGCTGACCAGAATCAGCCACATAGGTTTTGAAGGACCCAGAACATACAGACACACAGGAAGTAGTAGGGAGGGGCTGCAAAGGCCCAGGCTATTGGACTGTGGGGGAGAAGGCCACTGATCCCTGCTAAGCCACTTCTCTCATCAATCAGATTCTAACCCTGCATCTGCCTCCCACGGTTTATTATTAATACAATAATTCAGATAATCATTACATTTGACACCCAACACCCAGAATGTAAATCCACACAGGGCGTGAAACGACTGAACAACAACAAAATGCAAGTACTCAGTGCTTACTGTGCACAGA